GCCTCATGTAGTTTCACCGTATGTCCCTGAAAAGTGGAGGACGCACGGACAGCCGGAAAAAGTGGCGACTTTATGCTCTCCCTTGTCGGAGCATAACAACAACATTTTATAAAAAATTACAAAACTCGGTTTGATCGTGTCTGTCCATGAGAGAAAATATAAAAGTCCAACATCTCTGACCACCGTTAGCATCGGCTTGACGGTATTCAGTCTTAGAAAAATTAAGATGTAACCGCACATTGAAAACCGGTCATTCCGCGAAGAACAATATATGTGTTAACGCGTTACAAGCAAGTTAAAGAATGAGTTAAAGATATACTATGCTCATCATGGAGTAAAATAGTTTAAATGCAGAGTTAACATCACAGAAATTCTCAAAGAACATTTCTAATTTGAATAAAAGAATGAAGACTCTTTGCATGGGAAATAAGGTGACCTAACACTATAATTCTCTCACGACTAAAATTTTATCAAAATTGTCACTTTCGGGAGACCCTTATTTTTTTTTCAAAAAGTCGAAATAGCAAATGTTCATTTAGGGGCCCTTAAATCCGTTCACAATAATCCGAAGCTTTACGGAAATAGCCGAGCCATTTTCATTGATAAAAATGATATTCATCCGCGTATTTTTTGTGCATTTATTGACAATTCTATAAGCCAAAGCCACTTTTACACTTTGAATGCGTTGTTATTTGATGGAAACTTGTTACCAAATAAAAATATTTCTTTCTTTTACATCGCTAGTTTTAAGCTGTTTTGAAAACTACTTGTTGTTAGGTTTGTCGGGAAAACCTGTGCCTGAGGTTGAATGTCAGCATAGTATTTCCTGATCTGCGATCAGAAAATACAAAAATAGGAAAACAACACAATGTCCATCTTGGTTATAGTTTTATTACAAATAAAATGGCTCTTAAATGAGCGCTTGCAGATAGCTAACACGCGTAAAAATAATGATATAATGCTCGAGTAGTCCAAAGCAAGTACACCATTTGTGTACCGACTTGGCAAGCGCTCAACGCAGAGCCAGGAAATCTTCTCTAATTGCTTGGACAGAACGCAAATTCACTTTCGATTTTAATTAAATATTAAAATGTGATGTAGAAATGTTTATTCTAATTACATCTAAAAGATTTTTCAATATTCTCTGATTTACACCGGAAAATTCACGGTAAAATTTATTTAATAATGATTTATAAAGTTTTATTATTTTTAGGAAATCGTGTTGAAATCTTGGAGTCTGAAATCTTTACTTTATTGAGACCTGCTGGTATACGTTACTTTTTCATTTATGTAAAAATTATTTGAAAACCAATTTTATCGTTATAACATATGTCCAATTCGTATTTAAATAATAAGATATTTTTGAGTGTTTACAGGGGCGTATCACGTTTGGGGACAGGATATGATCCCCAAGCGTCTGTGATAATTACGCAGAGAGTGAATTCGAAAAAAACAATTGTTATGCTCTAAATAAATTGCCTGAAAAAGGCTAAAGGGGAATTAAAAACTTTGGTTAATAGATCAATTAAAACAGAAGGGAAAATTTCTTGAAAAAACGGGCATCCGCAACTTTAATTCGTCGGGATTTAAAACCTTTAAATGCTTTTATTTTAATTAAAAAGAATTTTACATCGTAAAAATTGGAGAAAAAAAAAATTTTTTAAAGCCTGCGATAGTCCCGCTGACGAATTACTTCAAATCTGGAACAAAGGGGCAATAATTGCTTGATACTTTCTGAAAAATATGACGTGATGAATATTTGTCCACTCTTCAGGAAAGAACACAAACATTACTGAAACAAGGAAAATACAAAGCAAAATATATTGCTTGTGCTGTAAACATTGTATTAATGAAAGACACTATTGACACTATATGAAAGAAAGTTGGTGCTAGGAAAGATACGTGAGCTTGTCAATAGTGAAGATAGATTTATTCGATCTGCAAAGGTTCAAACAGCATCTGGGAAAGTTTTAGAGAAACCATTAGGTCTACTGTATCTCATTGAAACATATTTCACCAAAAAGGTGAGAAAAGCTGCAATTGTTGCAAAACAGCGTATTAAGATGAGTAATCACTAGTATAGAACTGCGTGATGCGCTAAACTGTAAATGCCTTTTCAATAAGTGTGGGCGCAAACCATATATCTGGTGCAATTATGTAAAAAAAACTATCTATCAGATACGTGTGCAAAACAAGTGATTTTGTGTGAAATTTGGAGCAAATAATGTATATAAAGCAACCATGTGCTGAGATATAGTTTAGAGCAATAATATAGAAAAAAACCTGTCCATGAAATGCACGTGAAAATTTTGCGACAAAAATGTTTATCGCTCATTTATAGTTATGCTGTCAGTGAGAACAGTCGGTCTTGTAAAGATAAATGTGGAATTTTATGTCTTGTCTTTTAAAATATACGAGTGTGATACTTTCACAAAGAAGTATACATTAAAACAAAACATGGTTAGACATATTAAAGAGAAACACGGTGTTGCATTAGAATATTTAAAATGTCCAAAACTTGCATGTAAGGGAAATACAATTAGAAAAAGACCATCGTAAACATTTGATAGAACTACATTGAGTTGAGCGCGACTTAGAAGATGTCAAAAGTAGTACCGATAATCATAGAGAAACATAGCGACTTAGAAGATGTCAGTAGTGGTGATACTTCTGAAAAGAAAGAAAATAGCAGTGAAGAGTTAAATTATGACATTGATGATATAACGGATGTAGAGCTGGAACGAAAATACTGATAAAAATGCAGTTGTTTGAGATTTTGACACAGATATTCAGATTATAATTGACAATGATAGATTTTCGTTTAACCATGAATTTGAGTGAATTATCTGTAAATGTAATGTGTCAAAACCATAAGAATGAATTATCTGAAACCATAATGTGTCAAAATGTTATTCAAGTACAAATTGAAGCTTCCAGAGAGACAAAAGATGCTGAACATTTCACTGATTAAGTAAACAATGATATATAGAAAGCAAGAGCATCAAGGAAGGGCGGCATTCAGTAAACGCAACCCATGCACGACGCAGCATAACAAGACCACAGGTGGATTAAATGATAATGGAGCGAATAAATATGGTTTAGATGAAACAATTATGATTCAGAACCCATATAAATATTCGATGAAGAGCAGGAATTAGAAAGACAAACACTTAGTACGGAAATAGAGGTGTGGACATGATCTGGAATACGATACACAACATATCGAGGGAATGAACCATTTTTTTCAACAGTACGCTATGAAGACGACTTTTATCGTTATTAGATGAAAAATTAAACTTAAACATTTGATACAAAAGAAGATAAATAATTTTAAGCAAAGGTAGTGTTACATGAAATTTCAGACACTATGAAAGTTGGGATATGTGTTATACATAAGTCTGCTGAACATGATATATAAATATATGATTTGTCCGAATTTACCACTGCAAAAAAAAACATATGTGCCTAAAAAACAATAAATAATTTATAATAAACTGTCGATCTTCCCTTTTGCCCCTAGTTTTTTTTTTTAATTTTGCTCCTCTCTTCCCCTAATGCCGACTCACCTTCTCCTGTGCCCTTTACTTAATTGGCATAATCATCCAATCTATCATGTCTATTATTTGTTTTCTTTGCCTCTCTTGTCAGTTACTATTATTTCTTTTAAATTATCATATAAGTAAGTATCCTGTCCGTCCTTTTCCTTGTTTCTTTTTTTATTTTTTTTTTATTTTATTTTTTTTGGTGTGTGTGTGGGGCGATGGGGGCTCCTGGACTCCTTGTCGCTGGTTGTTGTTGCTGGTTCGTGTTTGGGTTGCGTTCATTGGACGCCGCTTTTCCGTGAGATATAGTTTATTATATTTTTGACGATGACATTAGCGTTTAACATTCAGAGATACGCCTTTAATTGTTTATGTTATCGTTACAATTGAAATGTTTAAATTTGCTTACTTTAGAAACACTAGAAACTGATTCTATTCTATTCTCAGATGGAAACAATGCTTTCAAATTTGTGCTTAAAATTTTAAACAATATTGCGAAATATTAAACCGATTTTCAGCTCGAATTTTAAAGCAAACTTTGTTTTAAATTATATAAAATCTATAAATTACAATTTGAGCACATTTCTGCAATCTTTAAATACTGTAGAAAACTTTACTCAACATTTTCAGGATTTTTTTTTTCAAAATTGGCCGAACTTTCCATTCACGTCACATTTTCTCATTGAAATTCTAAGAAAAACATACAGAAACTGTTCTGGGTGTAAGTTTATTTTTCTGCTGTATTTGATATAAATGGGAAAATAGTTTATTCATTTTTAAAATTTATTGTGATATTTCCTGGTCTTTCAAGGGCACATTAGTATTGAAAATTGAACATAGATTAATCCTGTGTTAGGGTGTGTGATACATGTTGCACTTGTATATTATCTCTCATGAAAGATTGCTCCTTTTCGAGATTATTAAATACATATTTAAGAATGTTGTCATAATATGATGTCGTGATTTGCTTGTTTTATATGAAAGCCTCGTCGCTATACTATAGCTTAATATCTATTTCAATTTACATTATAGTAACAAAATCATATCATGAGACCCTCATTATGTTTGTTGTGAAATTAATATTAACATACATGTACATAATAATTATTGACATTAAAACTACAGTACTATTTAGATATTAATGGTTAATGGTTCACTGATTGTCACACTTCTTTGTTGATTTTTGTTTTCATATTTTAGAAATATCTATAAGTCTGATTAAACAATGTATGATTATAATTATTCATATACCTATGATAGTTAATAGTAACGTTAATACATTACGTTAAAAAACGAAAACAAAACAACTCTGTCGTCATTGCATTAAAACATATTTAACGAGCCAAGTAATTGATCATATAATTTAATATGTCAGTGATAAGCAAGCATGTGTAAAATTCGATACTTTTTTTTATTCTACTATGATTAACTATAAAGGAAACACGAAACGGCAAATTCGCTATTAAACATGCAATTTTTATTACCTCTTAAACATTAACGATAGAAAGAAATATCAAACTACACTAAAACAACGATGGTATGATAGCAATGATATACTTTGTCCGACAATATTATTGTTTCAATATTAATATAATATTTCCGCATGGTTATATTGCATAGGGCATAATTCCGCCATCGACGCTTGCTTGTATATGTGTATAAAGATCATTTTAATGTTTGCTTAGAGAATTAATGTATTTATGCAAGTATTTATTAGTTGGGTTTTTGGGTTTTTCCTTTCTTTCTTTTTTCTTTATTTTAATCATGAAAGTCATTTCCGTTGTTTCCGGAAACTTTTATGAAAAACCAAATGGTTGCCACCGATACTGTAATGAAGCAAAAGACAAAGAAAATCTTATCGAACGCAGAACTGACATCCCTCCATATAATTTTCGAATCATTTTTATTTTCTAACTTTGTTTTTCTTCCATTTAAACTATCTTCGGCATTTTCATTCTTCGAACGATGTTCGCTTTCTGTGTCCATTGTTTCCTTTTTGCATTCTAATGAACTGCACTTTCGTTTGTTTAGTACATTGCTACATTCACATTGTAAGCACATAACAAAGCGTACAATCCAGTCAGGAATAGGTATGTTTTCATCTTTGTGATATAAGCGCATATTGAATATTGTTGCAAGTGTGATACCCATGCTTATGATAAGAACTATCAATAGGTAATATCCGAACAAAGACATAGGACTTGACGTTTTGGGGAGGTTGTCACCAACGAAGGTAAGAAAAACAGCAAGTGCCAGGAGAACCGTGATGCTGTAAGTAATCCGTTCACCACTTTCAACTGGAATAGCGAACACCACTGTATTTAAAAAGGCCATAAAGATTATAGGCAAAACGACATTTAGGAGAACAAACATAGGTTTCCGTTTGAGATAAAGAGTAAAATCTATAAAGACGCTCCCTGGAGTATACTCAATGCTTGAATTGTAAAAATGCCATATCCCATTTTCTGAAAAGTATGTTGTAAACACTTTATCTCCAAACGGACTAAAGATTATTTCGGTTTCACTCTGTGCCCATGGGGCAAAAGAAAAACTACATTTATGTCTGTCCCAGGGATAGTAAGTAACATCAACTTGACATGCCGCAGATAAAACGTCTCCAGGAAAATAATGAGCAAATCCGTTCGGTGTAAAGCGAATGAGTTGCCAAGCATCACCTATCTTCTCCAGTTTTTCAACAGTGTTTACTAAAGCTAAATTCGGTGTCCAAACATTGTCGCTTTCAATGACTAATTGATCAAGACCTCCATAATCTGCCGGATCCCATGCCATATATTCGTCTATCCAATAAGCTCTTATAATTGTAGCTACTGAAAGTTTTTCCTTTACCTCGTTGAATTCTTGAATTGAAACAAGTTCAAAACCAATAAATACCTCTAGTGGCTCGGACTGGTTCTCTACTGGTCTAAAAGTCTTCTCGTATGTAAGCATTTTATCATGAAGCAATTTCTTTGAATCATTCATACTGTGGGATGTTACAACACAGATAAACATAGAGAAGCACACAAAACACCTTACTTGAGAATAACACTTGACATTCATGTTATAATGCATTTTGCTTTTATCCTGGAATATACAAATAGTTTATGTATCTAAAGTTTTACAGGAACGCCACTGAGTTGTTCAACTTCAAGAGATTTGACATATTGTTTTCGAAACGTGCATACCTTTTGATTAAAGTATAGATGGACTAGTAACTTGTATGAAATTGTCAGTTCAGTCCCTCACCCGTTTTTCCAGAATAAGTATTTTATTGAGCAAAATAAAAGGCCATGCAAAACTCGATTTGCAATATAACTCTGTATTTAATTATTTCTATTGTTTTGCACAATTTTCCATTTTAATATTAATTGATCTTTGCAAGAATTTCAAACCTCATGTTTCCAAACTTTTGACCTCAGCGGAGTTTTTTTTAATAGAGAGTTTAACGGAAACGTACAAATAAAAGTAATTAATCAAAGAATTAAACATTTAATACTGAACACCCATCCAACAATATTCTGTTTTGCTTTTGAAATCATTCCAGCAGAATTTTACCAAGATGAAATGATGGTCTTTAACAGTTTTATAAAAATGATTCAATTTTCTCTCCATAATTTTTATAATGATAATCAATATTTATCAGTACTTTTACTCCTATGTTCAATAGATAACTCACATACATTTATTTCCATATGTCCAGAACAAACCACTGTGCTGCTTAATGATCCCCTACTATATGAACGAATGTTATTACTTTGTTCGTACTACCCCACATAATATGACTGTCACGGCAAAACGATCATCAACTAAAGCAATTCATTTAATGTAATAGATTTTTAAAGCAATCTTAATATTGTATGCCTTTCATTAATAAATCATTACCATCAATTCAGTTCTGCTTTCAAACGGAAAAACTTCAATTAATTTCTATTTGCTATGTGTCAGGTACCGCATTGATTTACAGTTCTCTTTATTTTAATAAAAAATCAATCGAAAGAGTTGATTTGTCAAAGCCTGAAATTAAACGTCATACCAACCGCCAGTATATAACAGTTTATTTTCTTGGACAACAGTTATCATAGACCTCACATCTTAATTATCGTACGACGATAACTTTTTAATTGTAGTGATGGCTCGGATCTAGAATAAAACTCATTGGCAATTTGTGTACAATTCTGTTGTATTGTGTTTCAAGCAATGTTCGTTGTTGTTGTTTTTTATGTTGTTGTTGATTTTGTATTTTGTTTTAAATTATCAAACATGTTGCAAGGTGGAAAGTATTCTCATTCTCTACGTCTCGTCAAGATTGACAATATGTCAAACAGTAAAAGTAATTAAAAGCATGTCATCTAAGTTCAAGCAGAAGGTATGTTCACTATACAACACATTAATACAATATAACAATGTATATTATTAAAATCATGCTGTAAATGTTAAACAAACTTCCATGTGATCATAATGAATAAAAAGGTACTTATGTGTTATGTATTAAATATATTTATGTTGATATTTGAAAAGCAAAGTGTACTAATTATTTATGAACATTTAGTTTTGTATGCCAATATTCTAACTACATTTATGACCAGAGTTCTCTTCTCTTTACAGGAGATGCTTATATTCGCATAGTTAAACATGTTAATTAGATCTTTTTTCTTTTATCTTTATTTCTTTAAGTTTGGTTTTACGTTGCACAAACACAGTATAGGACATATGTTGACTTTATAGCTTTACTGGAGGCGGAAGACATCTGGTACCATTCTGTGCATTATTTCAGACACGAACGGTGGTACCTGAGTAGAACCACCGACGTCTTGTAAGCTAGCTGGATAGCTTCCTCGCGTTAAAAAAATCCAAAGTCCCTGACGTGACCTGGTGGTTTTAAGTTTCAGTAAGAAAATATTTAATATTGAAAGTATTTATTAATATCTTAATTGACCTTATGTTAGTGTTGTGATAAGAGGAGCTTGAAATGTCTCTGAGTAATAAATTATGATTAAGTATGGATTAAAAAATAATTATATTCTTTGGCAATATTGACCTTTTGGCTAGTTTCCGAATTTATTAAGATTAACTAATTGAATTTAAATGATTGAGAGTTCTCGATACTCTATTTCTTACTCCGACATACCTTTGCGGCGTGCACGTCCCTCGGAGCACCAGACGTTAGACATAGTTATATCATTTTGCTGGTGTGGCCTAACTAACGGCGGAGGGTGTGGCTCTCAAAAGATGTTGCTGCCTCCTGGAAGAGGTGCCTTTCTACCTTTTGTCTTTCTGCGTTCAACGATGCGAAGAATCTGGTCATGGGGAGAATATCTCTTTTTGAGGACAGACAGATTGTACGGCTCAACGATCAGCGACGAATAGAGGCGATTAAGTCTATGTAGCGGCTCTACGACCAGCGACGTAACGGAAGCAGACAGTATGGGGCATATGGCTGCCCAGAAAAAATAAACTTAAATAAACACACACAACATCTATTCAATACTATCGTCCCGATGTTCTAATTGTGAGTTGCATGTTCGAATCCTCAACAAACTGTTTTTCAGGTTACTTTAGTTTTTTTTATTATAAGCAGCGTTAGCAGATGAATCATTTCTTTTATTTCCAGTGTTTTTTTTTTACTCAAAGAAAACATAACTTTGATCTATAGATGTTATATGTAAATTTTCATAATATCAATTTGTAACTCGTACAATGTGTGATTCGCATGCACACAAACTTAGTAGCCAAGTTTCGCAAAATATGATTATAAAAACAACAACAACAAAAAACAAAAAACAACGTTTTATTTAGAGTCGAACTTACAACGTTCAATTTGAAACTAGAATCTTAAGTTGGTAACAAAATGATGTACATGTATACCGTTATGCCATACTTATAAATACGTATGATTTACTTCGGAATCTGATAATTACCGACAAAACGTTATTGAATATATAAATGTATCAGGTCAATATTGTCAAACAATAACAAGTCGTATGAAAAAATATAACAATAATGATTGTCTTCCTGTGTGATCTAGGTTAAACACAAAATTTTTCTTAATTTCAATTCAGAGCTACAGCACTTTATTTATGTGTCTGTTTGATTGATTAATTGATTTTAAGTAATACCGACACTGATAAGGTCATATGGCGACGTTCCAGCTTATTCAGCCACCTTTGTATTGAGACGGTCAATAGACCTCTTTGGAACCTGTAAAGTTTTGTTATTGTTATTGAGTTCCATGCATATGGACTACCACACAAAAATGGAAATAGACAAAAGGTCCGAAGTATTGCCTTTCACAAATATGTCCTTGGCAGATTGTGTTTGAATAGAATGTATAATTATGCTACCCAATTAAAATCACGATGTTCTTAACACATAAACATACAATGTACCAGACAGTTATTTCTTTTACAACTTACTTTTTTTTAAAGGGACTCCACTGATGTTTTTTTTGACATAATGGGACTGAAAGAAAAATCCAGATTAATAATCCATTTCATGTAGGTTTAGCCACTAATCTTTCTGCGAAATTTCAGCTCATTTGCGCACTTCGTTTTTTCCAGAAAAATTATTCAAATTGTATAAATATGACCCAAAGTGAAAAACGTTTAAACACTTTTCACACAAATCGGGCTACGAAAAGCATAAAAATACGATTTTCAATATATTTCAAAGTATATTTCTTAACTAGCTTTGCATATATTTCTGCTTAAAAGGCCCTTGCTCATTTATGTAAGAAATTCAAATGTTATGTTTTAGGCTTTTAAACCTCAGTGGAGTCCCTTTAAAGAACAATGTGTCTTTGCTAGTTATTACACCTGTCCAGATTTATACCTATTTATAGTATCAAAATTGGAATCAAAATTTCAAACAGTGCACACTCTGGTGTTAGATAGCATTCCTTTTAACATCAGCATACACAGCTAGCTATAGGAGTACACTGCAAGCGCTGGAAGGTAATGTTAGGTCATCAAAGTGGTCTCAAAGTGGTGTTTCTTTCTATTGCTCTAACATGTATATGGGGAAGACATGAAAAAGCTGACGATTGAGGTTTCCTTCATTACAGAAAAATTGCGTGATAACTTGTTTTGTATTTCAAATCTATAACATTGCTTTTATTTAGCCTAAAAAATAAATACCTGAAAAAATAACTCGCAAGAAGCTCCTACAAAATTGAATTTAATTTATTCAACTTGTACAATAATTTCTGAATTATTTTTACTGTTGACATAATGAAAGGGTTTAAAATACGAATTGCAGTCAAGTCAATGTCAAATTCAAAATATCTTTATTATTATATCAGTCTACAAGAAGTGACTTCATTATACAAATACATATATAAAAATACTTCACAACATTTGATAAAAGTAGAAAAAAGTAACAGTAAAAATCCAATTTAACAAGAAGGAGGTTCTAAAAAGATCAATCATGTTTGAACATTTCTTAAATATAAGGACTAAGTTTTTCACAACAAAAATGTTTAAATATTTCACATTACAGTATAACTTTGAAATTCGGAACATCTAAATTCCGGAAACTTCCGAAATCCGAACATTTTTCAGGGTCCCAATTTTCCTCTTCTGTTTTCTATGTTATAAATACCTCTAAATAAAGAAACTTCTACATTCTGAATTTCGAACAATTTTCTGGTCAAAATTTAGATTAAATCAAAATATGATAAACAAGATCAACAAGGAAAGGCGGCGTTCAATGAACGCAACCCCCATATGACCCAACAACAAGAACCAGTGGCAAGGAGCCAAGGTGGACCCCAAACAAAAAACAGGGCAGGGCAAAGACAGAGCACGGACAGGTTAATCATTAAATGATAAATAATTTGTAACTGATTAGGAATTCAAAGAAAAGAACAATAGGCCCACAAAGGGGAAGGGGACAGGAGACCGGGGAAAGGGGGGTTAATCAAAGAAATAAAAACTAGAGGTTATGGGGAAGATACTTACCGTAGACGAGAAAACAACAAGGGACACAATCAAAAGTGTCACCAAAACAGTATGAAACAACATAGACATACATCTGAGGAACACAGAGGGGCGCCGCCTTGGAACGGTCAGCAGCATAATAATGACTGCTGGGGAGTTTAAACCGGTTAATTGTGCACCAAACCTCGCTCTTAGCCCCACCATGTTCCTATAAACGAGACAGTGTAAATAAAACGAATCCCCGCCAAGTGAAAAAGTGTAACAGTTTTCATGGTTACAAAAGGTTAAATAAGTAAGACACTAAAATGATCATGTAGAAACATACAAAAGTAAACCCAATGACCATAACAAAAGTACTCAATGTCCTAAAGGAAGACAGAGCAACAAGAAAATCACCTACAAGGGCCCGACGAAGCAAGGCGGAGGACGAACATTAAGACAATTTAGTCCCAAAGGGCTTTAAGAACTATCCATCATAGAGTCTCCCACTTGGTCCGTCAGATGTAATCAAAAGAGGAAAGCGTAGTGTCCAACTGTAAAAGGGTTGAACACTAAACATGCAGTGTGTCTTAAAATAGTAGGGTCATAA